CAGGAATGGGCGTCCCCGAGGAGGGAGCTGGAAAACGGGACACGAAGGGCCCAGGAGGAAATGTAGAGCAAATGCTTCCCTAAAAGGGAAGGAAAACCGAGCAGCTTGAGAGGGAACAGTATTCTGAGAAAAGGGGCTTCGGAAAGATGGACAGCAAGACCGACCCGGTCGGTCACTGACGGACAGACGGATGCCGTAGGCCCAGAGCTCAGGAACAGAAACAGAAACCAGAAGACCACGGGGACGAGCCCGGCGTCCACCTACACACAGGATTAAGGACTAGACGTGGAGAGATGTGATGTCAGAAACCTGACAAAACGCAGATACTAAATCTATACCGGGTTGGGGGTGGCGGGGGGGAGGGGGGCAAGCAAAGAACCACGGCAGAAGGAGAGTGATCCCTTTACCGCAGGCCGTTCACGAACATGCGCTGAAGTTCAGATGTATTTTCAAACTACACATCCTTAAAGTTTGTTTTTAAGTTTTCACATACTTAGGAGAATTTTAGAGAGATATATAGTTTGCATTTTTCTCAAGTTGAGAAGTGCCTTCAGTTTCAAGCCAGTACTTTTTTCTCCTGAAAATTCCAATAGGATTCAATTTGACATTGGACTGAAGACAGCAGTGCTGTGTGGCCCCTGGTCACTCAGCCCACCCTGCTCACTGCACCGCCCTGCACACAGAGAGCTGGGGACACATGTACAATGGCTCTTTCTGGGTTGTGGGATGATTTGTACTTTTCTATAATGCTTAGACTTTAAGGAAAACAAAAAAGGACCTTATAAAAGAATTCTATTTCGGCAGGAAGCATGAAGGAATTGAGAATCATTTTAGCATGCTTGTCCCACACCCCCTGACAGAGAAAGGCACCCAGACACTCAAAGACACAGCATCCCCCTTCCTAAGTACAGAACTGAGGCAGCTGCAGGAAGTAATGGGGCATGTCACACTGGTGAGGGCCAAGGCAGTAGTAGTCAACTAGTTCAATGCTTATTTTTAAACTGCTATATTAGATCCTTTCTTTACTTTGCAAACAAAATAAGCTCTACATGACTTCAGGAGATAAACACAAAACTTGAAACAGGAAAAACTATCAGAAGAAGACATAAGCAAATAGCTGTCCTTACGGTAGAAAGACAGCCTTCCTAGACATAAAAGCGCAGAAAGGAACCTAAGGGGGGAAATGCCTATAGATTCTAACACTCAAAACTGAAGTAACCCACAGCCAACATTATTCTCAATGGTGCACAATGGAAAGCTTCTCCCCTAAGATCAGGAATAAGACAAGGATGCCCACTCTCACCACTTGTATTCAACACAGTTCTGGAAGTCCTAGCCACGGCATTAGGCAAGAAAAGAAACAAAAGGCATCCAAATTGGAAAGGAAGAAATAAAAGTATCTTTGTTCCCAGATGACATAATCTTATATATAGTGAGCCCTAAAGATTCTACCAAAAAAAATAACTGTTAGAACTAATAAATGAATTATAGCAAAGTAGTAGGGCACAAAATCAACACACAAAAATCAGTGGTGTTTCTATAGACTAACAATGAACAATCCAAAAAAGAGATAAAGAAAATTCCATCTACCATACCATCAAAAAGAATAAGATAACCAAGGCAAGACTTGTACGCTGAAAACTACAAAACATTTCTGCAGGAAATTAGGTATCGGTAAGTGGAAACACATCCCGAGCTCATGGATTGGAAGACAGTATTGTTAAGATGTTGATACCATCCCAAGCAATCTGCAGATTCAATGCCATCCCTACTGAAATTCCAACTACTTTTTTTTACAGAAATAGAAAAACCCATCCTAAAATTCACATGAAATCTCAAGGGACCATAAATAGTCAAAACAACCTCGAAGAGAAGAAATTCGAGGTCTTACGCTTCCTGATTTCACAGCCACAGTCATCAAAACAGCATATGGGACGGGCACAAAGACAGACGCATAGACCAGTGGGACAGAGAAGAGAGCCCGGAAATAAACCATCACACGTGTGCCGAATGAGCTTTCACAAAGGTGCCAAGACCATGAAATAAGGAAAAGACAGTAATTTCAACACATAATTTTGGGAAAACCGGGTATCTGCATACAAAAGAATAAAGTTGGACTATTACTTAGCACCATATATAAAAATTAACTCAAAATGGATCAAAGACCTAAACGTAAGACCTAAATCTATAAAACTTTTAGAAGAAAACGTTGGGGAAAAGCTTCGTGACACTGGATTTGGCAATGATTCCTTGGATCATGACACCAAAAGCAAGGGCAACCAATGAAAAAATAAACTGGCCTACACCCAAATTTAAAACTTTTGTGCATCAAGAGACGCTATCAACAGAGTGAAGAGGCAACCCACAGAATGTAAGAAAATACTGGCCAATCAATATATCTGAGAGCGGGTTAACATCCAGAATATACTTTTTAAAACTCTTACAACTCAACAACAAAAAGACAAATAAGACTGTTCAAAACAGGCCCAGGACTGGAATAGACATTCCTCCAAGGAAGGTGCAAAAAGGGCCGATAGGCGCGTGAAAAGATGCTCAGCATCACCAGCCATTAAGGAAATGCACACAGAAACCACAGTGAGGTATCACTTCACACCCATCATTTTAAAATAAATAAATAAAATAACAAGCGCTGGTGAGAACGTGGAGAAATC